TGAATATCGCTAATCCAGAAGCATATACTGGCCATTGTATGAGGCGCACTTCAACAAATTTATTGCCCAATGGTGTTGATCTTACAACCATGAAACGACTGGTGGATGGAAGAGTTCCTGTGTAGCAGAAAGTTATGTTGGGGAGTCTATATCTAACAAACTTGATATTGCAAGGAAATCCAAGGAAAATATAGCTGTTTCTTACAAGAAGAGACGTCCGTAATTTATGCAAATCCTTCACAAACTTCGGCAAATGTTATGTGTTCCGAAAATGATGGCAACAATGCTACAAGGGTTGTTATTAACGGAAAGGAAGTTAAATTGTGATATAGCAAAAAAAACAAAATGTCTATTACTATAAATGTAAATGTTGAGGTTAATAAGTAAATAAATTAAATTTATTTTTTTTTAGGTTTTTTATATTTTTCATTATTCTACTAGTGAAATAATGTTACTTTAGATGGGTCATATGTGTGGATTATAAGGTGATTGTGGATAAAAATATTAAAAACACCTCTTTATATATCTGTTCTTCTAATATAAAGTGCAATTCTTCATTGTACTGTTTGATATAAAAATGTTTCAATCCAAACAAAACTATTTCTTATTTCTACTTAGTTAGAAAAACTAAATAGGTGTAATTAGAGATGATCCAGTTTAGTTTATGTTTTATGTGCTCCTGATACACTCCATAACCCGCAGAAAATTAAATTCTACCAACAATTCTCACATCTCTGCAGTTTTGATACAAATATATATATATATATATATATATATTGCAACTGGTCTGTCTAACTTTTCAAATTTTTACTTCCAATGAAAATGTGGACATTGGTCATTTTTCCTCCCTCAGTTCTGTCCTCCTGTTATATTATTATGTAAATTACTAGTCCACTAACCCTTATACTTGCATATAACCATGTTTACCTGGTCTAGCTATCTTATTTTCTTCGTCACAACCCGCTTTCCGTTTGCCCCACCAAACACATTTGTAATTTCTTTTTAAATACGTTTTAAATGCAAATGTCCACACCTTACTCATAATCTACAAATGTGATTTTAATTTTGGATTTGTCGAATTCCGAACCCCCGTCTCCGGTCGTCGGGGGGACGAAATTATTCTTTAATAGCCTTTTAAAAGCATTCCTCGCGGGTCGTTTCGCCGAACCAATGTAGCAGTAATTTATTATTAATTTGTTGCCCCGCTACTGATTTGCATGCCACTGAGCAATTACCCCGATATAAAAACTTGATTAATGGTCAGCCCTCAATGAAACATTGTACAAACTAGGAACATATCGTAAACTGTAAAAATAGCTCGGTCGCGACACGGGGGTTTTTACGACAGGGATGTGAATAAGGGCTACATTGTTTCCAGCATGTTATTAGTTTCAACGCACTCGAGTCTTCTTTCCAAATTATAAACAAGGGTGAAATTTGTACTTTTATACGAAAGGGAAAAATTAACAATGAAAAAATAGAGAAAATAAAAATAAAAATGGAACAAACTTACAAATAACACAAATATAAAGAACAAAATAAAAAGGCAACAAACTATAAAAGACAATATCTGTTAAGCATTTTTTATATCATTAGCCAAACAACAACAACAAAAAAGATCGACATTATTTTCTATCCCTGTACTTGGAAACAATTTGATACAATGGTGATGCTACTATGATGTCACTACGTGCTGCGGGTAGACTAAAAAACATTATTACTTCTAACTGATAGTCGTGGTATTTTGATATTAATATTACTTAAGGCGCTTTGATAGTCCAAAATGTTATGTAGAACTTTATACATAAACATTACTTTGAAAAACTGATCTTCTTTTAGCAAGTACATGAATATTGAAACGCTCAAGTAATAAATCATGCGGAAAACCCTGAGGGGGATATGTACCATCCAATAAGTACACAGCTGATTACATAAATCTACGCTGTACTCTTTCCAAAGTTGCAATTTGATTAGCATAAATTGGGTTCCAGACTATTGATGCATATTCTAATTTAGAACGGATGAAGATAGTGTAGAGCAATCGTAGTATAGCAATATAAAATGTAACTCCAAGGTCTTTTTTTTGTAATCGGGTCTATGCAATATTATATTATCCAATTTATAATCAAATAGTACAGATTTTTTTTTTTTTGTTAGCGTTATTTAGCCTTAAATTTAGACACCACAGACTAATGACATTCAACGCATTCTGTAACGTATAGCAGTCGGCAATGGTGTTTATTTCGCAAAATAGCTTAAAGTCATCTGCATACATTAAATGGTGTACTTGTAGATCAACCATGATGTCGTTTACAAAAAGAACAAAGAGTAAGGGTCCGATTATAGATCCTTGAGGCACACCACATGTTTGATGAAACTTGTGCGATTTAAAACCACGATGCTGAATAAACTGATATCTATTTTTTTGTAAATACGATTCAAAAAGTTGCAAAAGTGATTCGGACACACCAAACCCATCTAGTTTGTACAGCAAGAGGTCGTGGTCGAGTCTGTCAAAAGCTTTAGTGAAGTCTGTATAGATAACATCGATTTGTTTCATTTTGTCAAGTTTCTCGCTAATAAACTGAATTTTTTGGACAAAGTTAGTAACAGTGGATCTGCCCTTAATCAAAACAGTGTTGCTCCCACGATAACAGCCCAGACATAATAATAATAATTTATTTATATTTATTTATCTTTATAGCTATGAAACATGCATACACATTTAACCAATTTTATACAAAACACAAATTGACATAGCTGACATTATAAACAAGAATGACAATAACCGAAATTGATACAAAATGAACTATAATTTCTCGACATACAATTTGGTAACTTCTCTAACAAAATTTCCCACACTAACCACTTCTTTCACGTGATTATGTGAACAAGGACAAAAGCCATTCATATATCATATATAATACATTTTGCAATTTATCAGAAGTAAAATATATTAACATACCTCTTCATATTTCTGTACCTATACGAGTATACAAAAAAGGAATGTGAGGTTGTTGCAGAAGCCACACTAATTACAATTCCTCTAATCAAACTTTGAGTACTAGTGGTAAAATTTTTTGTAACACCTGCCCTACTTTCAGAGTTCCTGATAAAATATTACATTACACATTATTAAATAAATGATTCTGCACTGTAACAGAAATTGTCGGAAAAACCTTTTAATTGTCGATTCTTATTTTATATATTAACTTTTGTAATTTAAACAGTTATTAGGAGTAGAGTAATATTTATAACGTACCTCTTCACATTTCTGCATTGATATACGAAAAGGAATTGAGGAAGATTCATGTAGAAGCAATATATATGAGAATGTAGGCATGCTTCTAAAAAAAACTTCCAGCAATAGTTATTATTTATGTACACGGAACATTTTGAGTAATACCTGTCAAACTTTCTGTGTTCCTGATCCACATTTTTTAGAAACTATACCTTTCTCCACTTAAACAGAAAATTTGATATAAATTTTTGAGTTACACATTCCTATTTTATACATATACTAAATTTTGTTATTTAAGCAGTTATTAGAAGTAATATTTATTAATACACCTCCTCACTTTTCTGCACTTATATACAAAAAGGAATTGAGAAAGGTTCTTATAGAAGCAACATTCATTAAAATGTCGACATTACATATTTCTTTACAAGTGACAATCTATTTCTGAGCTCCTGATGAAATATATAAATTCTTTTAAAAACTGTACGATTTTGCACACCAATAGAAAATTTAGGATAATTTTTCAGTCGCAACTAGATAAGAAAAAGTTTGGTAAAAATTTCAAAATAAACGAATATACTCCTGATACAAAATTGATAAAACTTTTGGAGTAAGAAAGAAATTGATTAAATTTCTTTTTTTTTTATTTACCTTTAAATTTCTAAAGTGTCTACTCATTTATAACTATCTTTATTCTAAAAACCTCCTAAAACTCCAGACCTGATCCCAGTTAACATTTACAATCAAAACCAGGTATTATCAATACAAGACCAAACTGCGGAATATATTTGAACGTTTTATGTAAAATTTCTCTTAGCTGAACACCAGGGCATTAGTTTAAACTTAGACTGAGACAATTATTGTCGTCGTTTTATGTCTATAACAAGTTCATAACTACGCCATGAAGCGCGGCCTTTCGCCGCCTCTCCTTTGCATTATAAAGCTTTGTGCAAGCGTTTATGAACTTTTTAATCCCCCCTACGTTGTCATTAAGGGCATCCTAATTACATTTTCACCGACTCCGTAGAGGGAGCGTCTTCAGTTCGATGTTACTGCGAAGTGTGCCAACTGTGACTGATAAAAAAGCCAATTTCTAGTTGTCTGCGCCATATGGAAGATACCGCAGCGCTATAATTAATTCCTCTTGGGAGCAGGAGGTGTTCAATTTAATTGTTTCGGTTTTTTTGGAAATAAATTCCCGCTCTCGCTTTCGTTGGGATGGATGTTTTTTGTCTGTTAATTTCCCTTCCTCAAGGCCGTAATCCTTGGCTTGGCCTTCCTAGATTTTTCCGATACCGTCTCAAGATGATTCCTTGTAGGCTGAAACTGAAAAATAATACAGGGCTTAACTTCGAATGTACCATCCCGGCATATCATACCAGGTGTAAAGACAATTTGCAGTTGTCGCCTCTCAAAAGCGATATGGCATTTCAGTAGCACACTTTCACTTCGGAAGCGTTCGGAATATGATGGAATTCTGCTTAAATTTGAAGGACATTGACAATAGTAGCGCATAGTTGTTTGCAAAAACTTGAAAAGTTTTAAAAAAATATTCGAATGAAGCCATCGTAAATTTTAAGAACACTAAAAGCAAATTACTGTCTTTCTTGGCTATACATATTAATATTGTGCAGATAAAAGTGTCAGTAAGGCATTTTTTCTTGTGTGGACTATAAAATATGGGTTTCCCGAATTCCTCTTCATCCGAAATGCCGTTAATGGCCGTTGTTTTCGGTCCCTTTAAATTTTATGTTTGTTTCAGGATCGGCACGTTAAAGACTCCCCAGCGAGCGCCATCGACAGGGAGCCCGAGATAGATCCGAGCCAGGATTACCAACTCCTGCTGGGCTACGAAAATAGCACCCACACCGTCCTGAGGTTCAGGAGGCGGCTGGATACGTGCGATCACCATGACATCCCCATAACGGTAAGAAAATGGAAAATCTATAAAAGAGGTTCTTCGCAAGGCGGTGCTTATAGTTCGTTTAAGAATACGGTTGACTTGTTCTTAAAAAAAACTTTCAGAGTGTAATGATTTATAATTTAGGTGATTTTCCAAGTCTTTCTATTCAACTCTTGGTCTATTCTTTATTCTTTATTATTATTACATATAAATTAAAAGATTAAAATAGAAAAAAAGAAGAATTAAACAAATGTCAATATAATATGCATAAAACACAAAATAACAGATTAACAAAACTTACATAACACAAAAGTACAATTAAGATAATCAAGACAAAAAATAATTAAAAATTTAAAAGCATAGTGGTAGCATTCAGATAACTCCTGCACCCTATAAAAACAATTTTCGAGAAGATATTTCGTGATAATTAGTTTAAATTTACAAGAGTTTAACTCTTTTACGGCATCAGGTAAAATATTGTAAATATTTAACTGAGGCGCATTTCTGGATGATAGATTTAGTCGAAAACAAGGCGGTCACAAATAACTAGTCTGTCGAGTATTATGATGATGTACGTTAGAGTTACAAACAAACGTATTAATATTTTTGTGTATTTCCAAAAGCTGGTACAATATAAAAGGAGTAGGTAAAGGCATTACCCTCAGTGTTTTAAAATAAGGCTGACACTGGTCCAAAAACTTTGCGTTAGCAATAAACCTTATAATATTTTTTTGCATTCTAATATATCTGTACAGCAGAAGAAGAGTTACCCCAGAGAGTAATACCGTAACATAAATGAGAGTGGAACAATGAAAAATATACTTTTAAGAGAGCACTTTGACTAAAATTTGGTTTTAATTTACGAATAATAAAAGAACAAAACGACAGTTTTTTTCTTTAAAGAATGAACGTAAGGTGACCAACATAACCTATCATCAATAGTCAAACCCAATAATTCTACTGTAGATCCATTTGTAATATTATTATCCGAGGAAAACGTTATACTTTGAGTTTTATCCAAATTTAATTTAAGATTATTATTTGCGAACCACTCATTGGCTTTATTTTCCAATACATTTACATCAAATTGTAAGGAAACTGTATTATTATTGCTACAAATCAAGGATGTATCATCAGCGTAGAGAATACACCTCTCAGGAAACAAATAGAGAGAAAGGTCATTCATATAGATTATAAAGAGTACGGGCCCCAAAACCGAACCTTGAGGTACCCCGCTCTCTACTGCAGTTAGATCAGATCTCTATCATTTTTAGAGCAACACATTGCTTTCTGGAAGTAAGGTAAGATTTGAATAGTTCTTACTGCATCCCCCTAACACCATAACGGAGAAACTTCTCAATGAGGAGGAGATCATGATAAATGCAATCAAAGACCTTGCTAAGATCACATAGGGTAAGCCTAACTAGCTTTCCCTTCTCAAGTCACTCTACTACACAATTCACAACTTGGGAAATGGCATGCACTGTCGAAAGACCCAAATTGACGACTGACATAACTTGTTCGAAATAAAATAATTTGTCAAACACTTTAAATATTTTACCAAAAAATGGTATGACCGAGATGGGACGATAATTATTGGGAAAAATTACATCACCTTTTTTAAAAGTAGGAACCACTTTAGAGATTTTAAAAATATTAGGGAAAATGCCAGCTGATATGCACTTATTATAAATAACTGTCAAAGGTCTTACAGGTAAATCGGCAAATTCTTTGATGAAAAAACTAGAAATGTCATAAACATCAAAACAGTTGGAGGTTTTCAACTGTGACACATGATTTTCAGGCATAAAACTTGATCTCTTTTGACTTTAAGGTTATCATTAAACCAACAAAATAGGGTTTTCTATTGTTTTGATTTTTTAAAGGAAAGACATGATTAATAGTTTCCTGAAATCTACCTACAAATATATAGAGGCCAAAAAATCAACGTCATCGTTATTAAAAAACATATCCCAGTTAAAGATACGTAATATATTTCTGTCAGCAATACCACTGTTAGAAATTTTCCTACGGAAAATTACATTAACTTTCATATGAGAAGAAACACAAATTAAAATTATATTATAAATTTTTATTCTAAGCAACTTTCCTTAACAATATATTTCTATATCGTTAAAAACAAAAGCAGTTTATTCTTTAACGATTTTTATATTTACCGATTTTCTCATCACCCTGTACACGCAAGATGAAGGTTCTCCATGCCAATCGCATTTTAAAGATGAGCAAAAATTTTAATCAAGCATGTCTTTTTCTCGTAAAATGAAAAATAAAAATATTTTCCCTCTTTTCTACTCTTTAATGTAAATGATTACTGCCCATGGTCTCCCAAGATAAGGAAAACTTTTTATCAAGAATAACTTTCTCTCGAAAAATTAACAATAAAAAAGTTTAGAAGAGTGTGGTACATGGAGTACCAGAACACACTGTACATCTCTAAAATTAGAAGTTTCGGAAGCAACAAAAACTTGTAATAGATAGTTCTGTTGACCAATTCCGGAATCAATTTATTGGGTCAAAAATTATAAACAGAGTCACTTCACCAGCCGCGGAAAAGCCGCCAACTAAGTTAGTTAAAGCAAGCGTGAATGGATTATATCCTCCATTGTTTTCCTATAATCGAGTAAAGTTATAATAGCTCCCTGATTGTCCCAATTCGCTTCAGCACACCGAAAAACAACAAACTTAAAACGGCAAATTGCCTCGGACAAGTTTCCAGCGGCAAATATTAATCGAATTATATCGTGGATTTTCTCCCGAGTTAATCATTTTCTGTCGTGGCCTCGACCGGATCCCGCTTGTAGCCACCCGGACAGGTTACCCGTTAGGTCGTTACATTATGTATTATCCGACTCTAGAAAAGTCGCTTTTAATGAAGCTCTGGATGGGTTATTACCGCAGAACGATTCAGGAAGTAAAAACTGATATCGTCGTGTAGAATGTGGTCTCAGACCTCCATGTTCCATTTATTTCAGCGTGCCCATGTTTGAAACTTCCCAGCAGCATCACCAAGGCTTCCGATTATATTATTGCTGTTAGAACTTTATTAAAACAAAATTTCCATCCTAATATACTGATTATATCTAACCTATTCCGAAAAACAACAGCATTTTTTGATGGATTACAACAACTTCTAATCATCGTTTTCTTTTGTAACTTTAGCAGGATTTGACGATTCTATATTTATGCAGTTCAGCCACAACTTAAATAAATGCTTCTTGATGGAAGAAATCCGAATTAACTTTGACTTGTTTGTTGGAAGATAAAAAACGTGACTTTCTACAAATTGATCCTGAATATTTCCAGGAATTATTTATAAATATGGTTTCAGATATGTTTTTTTCGTATAATCCTGGCAATTCCATCACGTCCTCTTTTTGCGAGCACACGTGGAAGATTTCCATACACACCTACAGTATCTACGTCTACACATAACAATATTGGCAAGATTTGTACAAAAGGTTTTTTTCGAAAGACCAAATTTATCTCCGCCCACCAAACAACTTCCTTCTCCGTTCCGTGTACGGGTCTAAATGTAACTTAAATTACTTTCATTGTACCTCCCAACAGTCATTGTCATTCCACACCGGCCAGTCATTGTGATATGTGAACCACATACAATATTCACCTGGGTAGTACTTATAATTCATTATTTTTAATATGGTTTTCGGGCACCGCCTAATCTAAATTGAATCTTAATCCTTTTAGAGATACGTATCTCTGAACGGGAAAACTTACAACATACGCTTGGATTTTTTAATACAATGCATGCTCTCGATGGGCGAACATTTGGATGGTTCTGAATTTTAAATCGTAGTTATTAATCTGTTTCATTATCTTCAGGGTACATTTGAATATGTTATTTAAATATTTTAATACATGGCGTTGCGTTGGAACAAATTTTTACAATTTTAAATGCAGTTTCTTGCTGTATGACCAAAAAAGACTAGGTAATAGTCCATTGAAATGAAGGCTGAACCTCCATCTTTTCCTCTGTCGATCAAACCTGGGCGCAAATATGTTTTCGACCCTCAGGAATCCGAATCCGAAAATTTTTGATCTAGGTAGTCAGGAAAGGGGTCAAAAGGTAAAAAACCGTAAAAAATAAGTTTTTTCGCAAATATCTCGTTAACTACGGCAAATAGCAAAAAAATAATTGCACCATCGTGTTCCCAGGGAAATTTTACATCGATTTTATGCTATTGCTTATTAAAATTAAATAAATTTATGTCATGTTTTGGACAATTACCAAGCAATATAATGCGATTTCAAATATAATTAGCCTGCAGTTATAGTGGATCTGAATTCAATTGCCAGATACACTATTTTTTTTGCTACTTACTTTAATTTTTAAATGGAAAACCAAAAATAATACTAATGAAGAACAGAAAAAAAACTTTTTTAGAACGAAATACTTATTGCAAAAATGAAATATAGTGCTCTGAAAAATCGACTTGTAAAGCTTATTCTACAAATACT